TCCGCTCACGGACTTAGTGTTAGTCTGCTGTTCTCTCCTTCCCGTGTGCTACTATTGTTATTATGCTATATCCTGCCTTTTTTGCACTTCCTGTGCTCAAGTGGGACAACGTGCTGTGCGACCTAATAGTAGGCAACGGATATAAGCGGAGTAAAACATAACAATTTGGCAATATTACAACTTTCTGTGCCTGAAATGGGGATACCCATAGTAAATCTATCGCCAATCTATACAACGGGGTTCCACTTCTTAAAAACAATATTATCTATGATAAGAGAATTACAACTCGATCAGAATGAGTAGACATTAATGAGTTATCAAAAACATTTATCAGTATTCGTCGACCTGTCTGCACTAAAATCGGACGTTAAGCAACTGAGCATCAGCCATTTCGAGTAATCCATCATAGAGATTTTTCGTGAGCAGCAGCAAAGAAATTCTTAGTGGCAGTTGGCTATAGGATCACCCACTTCAGGGGCACAGGTAAAAGACGACTGATGCAGTCACACGTGTTTTGCGAGAAATCGATAAACAGCATAACCAGACTATGCAACCGGACTTTGTTTTTTTGGATAATAATTTTGGTCGCACCGTGATCGATTCTGACATTGGCTATCAGGATGCTGTCAAATTGTGCAGTGAATTATGTAAAACGAACTGTTGACTGTATTAGAAACTTGACAACAAACATCAGTGTAAACTCGAAGATGTGATCCTGGTGAATTATCAGACAGCGGTCGATATGCTTCCCGATCGGGTGCTGTCACACTCCACGCACACATCTGCCCATTATATCTACACGTATGTTCACACTCGTTGATTCAGTCATGTGACACACAACACACACGCACGCACACCGTGACAAGGCTTACCAGTTATACGACCACGACTCGCAATAAGACAAGACAACCAGTCATATGACCATTACGCACTCACCTCACCTGTGGTGAGGTCGGCACTCTGATCCATTCACGCGTTCATGAACCCAGCCAATCAATGTAATTGACCTTGTGACATTAGCCCATCAGTCTAGGTGACGGGGCTCCAACACAATCGATTGCACACCGGACTATTGCGTATGAGCTCTGGATTATATTACGTTGTTTATTTACGCGGACTCGGGAAATCTTGGTGTGAGTACTTACCCTTTCACTATCGATGTATGCCTATCTCCTATTTACGTGTACTAAATGTTAGTTGTTTCTTTCTTACAGAACTGCATCGATATTCATGTACGTATCCCGTATGATAAGGTGCTTACGTTTTGCTCAACTCAACTGGGATTGCGAATAATCAAGCGAGTGGTCAGACCGAGATAAGATTTAAGTTAGGTGAGAGCTTACATTTAGTAACCATTGAAAGGCATGGGTCGATCATCTTATAAAATGTGGAAAGTACTATTGCAAATCATTATTTAGAATGCTGAGTTCTGGAAGGGCGATGCATATATCATTCAACTAATCAATATGTACAGTGTACCCAAATTGATGAAAAATATGTTTTGTTTTAGACGGTGAATGTTTGGATTAGTCCATTCGGTTGTGTGCTTGTGAGTGTTCACACACACACACACACACACACACTTCCATTGGGATTTTGTCTAGGAATGGAGTTTCCGCATATTTTAAAACGTATAGAATAGGTTAGTGTCACTTTTCTCATTCAACTTTGATAAGCGATGTGAGACAGTTTAATTTCAATTTCAGTTTTTATAACCATGCACTTTCGTGAACCGGTTTCGGTTGTTGTCTTTTGGTTGCCCATTTTGATGTGAGACAAGTGTTACTGAAATGTATCCCGGCAGTTTTCATCGGGCGGGCTTATCCAACTCTCACGGAGGACCTGATTTGGTTGGAGGTTTCCGGCTAAATTTAACAGATGGTGCAATGTGTTTCCCATCGTTGCTGGTGTCCGTGGTTGACTTGTGAGGCACTCGGTTGATAGGACGGGACTAGTGTGACCATCTGGCTAGAAAACCCTTTGACACGTTCGCCAGTAGCACTCAAGCCAAATCAAATTAAGTTTTGTTGCGGATCACAAAGAATTTCGGATTTTACTGTCTTCAAATTTTTGCCTTAAAAACTGAATGATTGTGTTGTATTTATGCAGATAAACAGAATACTAAACAGGGATCCTCTCAGTTCTGATCTTTTCACCTACCGGCACAGTGCCCAGTCAGGTTCATTTTTCTCCACATACACATTTATCGCAAACTGAACAATGTTTTGTCTGACCTGTCCTCCAATTTACAAGAAAAAGTTTTTTTTAATGAAATTCTTGTAAACCTGTATAAATGATCCTCCTTAACCACTGAATGTTTTTAGGGAGGGGGGAGTTCAAAAGTGATATGTAGACATTTATTTATACAAGTCATATTATTATATAACACGGTACAATACCTACCTCGTACCACACGTTTGAACATTTCTTTAAACGGATTCGCATACGCGCTTTTGTTTACCTCCAAAATGATAGCCATTTTTTTCACCTTCGGATGAATTAACTGTTCGTAGATGTCGTGCATACAGTTCATCCTCTGCTCCCAAAATTCATACTCATAGGTCGGTAGGGGAAATTCACCATTGGCTATTGCTTGTCCGGACTGCTGCTTCAGGATATCGTTGATCTGTGCACTCCAGTCTACCACGGCTGTCTCTATGGCATACATGAGACTGCCTATCACATCATCCCCACTGAAACAAAGCGAAGCGGATTGGCATAGAGGAAAGAACGATGCCCTCTTGATGAGCAAAACATCTCTGCCATCTCCGAGGATAAGGATCAATGAAAAAACGATTCAGTACGAAAAACCGCTGTATATAATGAAATGGTAGACTGCATCAGTTGCTTATAAAATATGCTTATTTAAACAATGGGATTGCAGAACGGATAATTGCAATGCAGTTTTTGCCAGTTAACTTATTCTTGCCACCGAGAAGGATTTCCTGAATTAAGCCCTGACTTAGGTCAAACAGAAAGACAGGCTGACAAACAAAAACTTACTGGCATGATATTGGCTCCTGATCCTCGATTTTTTCAATTCCAATTGGATGGGCCAGATGCGTCTTGCCCTCGATCCGCGCCAGGACTGTGGCAGACTTTTTCTGCAGGTTGTATAAATCCCTTTTGATGTATTCACTCAACGACTCTGGCCAATCCTCTCGATTGCGCTCGTTCAGAATGATAGGAGAAAGTACCTGATAAAACAAGATTGTTGAGTCAAACAGGACTGTACCGGAGGAAAATTACCGTATTTACAAATGCAATAAAGTGATGCAGTGGTGATTTATTCAAGTCACCATAGGACAGCATGGTATTGATAACATTCCATTCATTATTTTTCTCAATCACTCCACGTTCTTTCTTGATAAAGTAGAACACCTTATACTTGAATACTTGTGGAAACTTTGTGTACACTTCAAACACCCCGGTAGGTGTAAGGACAACAAACAAATGGGACAATTCCTGTTGTTCGAAGAATTCCAACAATTTCTCTGCCTGTTTTGTGTCGTCCAAAAATTTTTTAATCTTATCGTATTTGACATCGGTGATCAGCTGGATGTAGTTGAATACAAACCGCAGTCGCAAGTCTTCAATGTCTTCCACGGACATCTTTTAAATTCAGTGCCGTTGAATGAGTTGTCGTCTTTTGGTCTGTTGTATTTGGTCAAATTTTGAGATTCCGGTGGTTCGTCGTTCACAGAACGACTTTACCACTGGCTCTGGTAAATGGACTTGTCCCTTGAAGCTACGCAGATAACTCAGTTTGAACCGTCTGATACAATCGATTCTCTTTGGCTTCGTGTGAATTATTAGAAGGTCAGGTGATCTTGTATAAAATGATGTTAAATGTGATACATTTAAGATGCACCGGAGAGGGGTTTTTATGCTTTCATCAAGTTTAGCTTATCAAAGTTGATTTCAGCAATGTGATGTTTGGAGTTGTATTAGGACTGCGTAGGCACCGATCAAGATCACTTTCGATTGTTCCCGTGCGTGACGATGATTGCAGGATCACTGATTCAACTAAAACATGTATAAAGTGCAATGCGATTCTGATACCAATTACCATTTTATTTCCACTCTCATAAATTTTTGCGCAGAGCTCATTTCCTCTGCGACCATAAGATGATTCGACTGGATAATTTAGCAAATATGTGTGACTTTTATCCTCCCCCCCGCAAGTGCCAAGAGACTGTTGCTTGCTTACTTCATGCAAATTGTGGACCGAATATATCGAGTCATTACCCAACCATGAGGTAAAACCATTCGGTAGCCAACGATATGGTCATACTACGCGGTCCATTTGCCCCACTGTTTTCGGCTGCTCGATCAGTGATCGTTAAAACTAGCTGAACGAAACTCAAAGAAATTAAATATTCAATTTTATGTTTGCGGTAGCTATTCAAAATACCTCTCGTCAATTCATTTACACAACAACACTTGACAAAACGTTTTCTCTCACCTTCAAAATACTGGATTATGGACACGTTTGCCACTGTTCGATATGTTCCCGTGGAACTTCTCAATTGCTTTTTGAGAATAACCTGGTCGTTATAAATATCCTTACGGATGGAAGTTCTATGAAGATCCAGCGATTTTGGGGTTCGTTCTTTTGAACCTCCTCCCCCGGAAAGATTTACTTTCGGGGAAATTCCGCATAGAGAACAGTTAGGCTAAAACCAAAGTGAAATGTCGATTTCCACTTCCGTTTATTGGATAAAATATATCATGTTGTCCTTACACATTTGCGAGTATGAAGTGAAATAAACTATGAAATCAGCACAATTATTCTTGTCTGTCATGTTTTTACTATAGAAGAAGGGGCCGATTTCCTTGTCTTAAAGGATATCACGTGTTGCAACACTGAACCCAGACTGGCGGAAATTACACTTCTTACTCTTCTTATAGTAATCCTAAAACAGAACGTAAACGGTATGGGATTTTTTCGTTGTTTTCAGTTACAGGTTTGGGGTACGTGAATTGCCGAACCTGAATTCATATTTGCGATAGCATTCTGTCTCACTTCACCGATGAGATTGGTGTTCGGTAGAATGATTTTACAAAATGCCTTACTCTCATCTATAGATAATAATTGGATCTGCTCTAAGCTGTAATCAATTTAAACTATACTCTACATGTTATATTACAGGGTTGGATAGAGCCTGAGTTAGACCGTGAGCTTTCATTGACAACTTAATTAATAAAAGGATTGTGTTTGGTGTACATTGAAAAATCCTTTTTCAGGATCGGATCCATTCCATTTCAATTTTCGAATTGTCGAGAAAATCAAAAACGCAGGGATATTGCGTGATACGAATACATTTCTCTCTCTTCTACTCCGTGCGAATCCATAGACTCCAGGATCTGCTTGTCTCAGGTGGTCACAATAAGCATATGATAGAGTATGTAAATTTGCATGAAAAATACAAGAAAAAATATCTGTTTATTTTCTGGTTATCAACCACGCAGCTCAGATTTAACAGTTTCAACTTCTACCCCGTAAGTTTGCCGTTCGAGTCCGATAGGGAGGAGAAAAGCAGTAGGCACTGTTGATTAGCTGTCCCCCTCCCCCCCAGAACGAAACAGCTTTCCGGTGATCCTTGTTGATCATCTGTGGTAATCGGATTAGGATTGAATATCGGAATACGAGAACCCGTTCTGCAAAGTTCAAAACTGGATTGGCTCCAACCCGAACTGCGGACACCAATGAAATACACGACGAACTGGTGGCAGCAAATGCTTACGTTTATTGATAGGATTAGAGCATGTTTTATAGAAAGTAATAGGCCATATCATTGGTTGAAGGACCGTCGTCCAATCACGTAATTGTTTCCGTAGACGCATCACATGTACTAACTCGAATGTAATATTCACCCGGTGTACCATTGG